CCTCTCCCCCTCCCCCTCTCTCTCTCCCTCTTCCTCTCTCTTCTACCAGTTTGCATAGCCAGGGCCAATATTTGAGCAACATTTTGACCGCAAACCTCTCCCATAGTACCCCTGTTTCACCCCTCCCCTTATGTACCCCCCGCTTCACCCCTCCCCTCCTTTCTCTTTCCAATAAGTAAAACAAGAACAATTTGAGAGGTAATTAGGACTCCAGATCCCATAAGTTCCCTGAATACGGTCATTCGTGGCATTGGCTGTCCAGTTCTCTAGGGCCCTGGCCCCTAGCGTACAAAACTCCTCTAGACAGAAATCACCATAAAACCCTGGGTGGCGTTTCCAGCTCCCATTTAATGGGCCAAGACCGTGAGTTTCAGAGCTTGACTGGAGCAGGTACGGAGGTGTGGTGTGTTCCCAGCACACCGGAGGCTGAGGAAGATGCCTGGACTATGGTGTGAGATTCTCAAAACCCCCAAACTGTGGTACAGCCACCACCCACAGCAAAATGTGTGTGATGAGCATTAGCGCATTACTAGAGTCCAGCCATGGAACCGTCTGTGGGGACGGCGTAGAACATGTTCAGTGCTCTGCTGCAGCCATGGAGACTTCTTTCTACCAGAGCTTTGGCATGGCTTTCGTCTAGTTTGCTAAAAAATGCTTTCAGATTTTGATGGTACAGGACTGGATGCCATGTGGGCTCTGGGGGTTCAGGACTGGACGCCGTGTGGGCTCTGGGGGTTCAGGACTGGACGCCGTGTGGGCTCTGGGGGGTTCAGGACTGGACGCCGTGTGGGCTCTGGGGGTTCAGGACTGGACGCCGTGTGGGCTCTGGAGGGTTCAGGACTGGATGCCGTGTGGGCTCTGGAGGGTTCAGAAGTGGACGCTGTGTGGGCTCTGGGGGGTTCAGGACTGGATGCTGTGTGGGCTCTGGGGGGTTCAGGACTGGATGCTGTGTGGGCTCTGGGGGGTTCAGGACTGGATGCTGTGTGGGCTCTGGGGGGTTCAGGACTGGATGCTGTGTGGGCTCTGGGGGGTTCAGGACTGGACACTGTGTCTGCTCTCAAGGTTCAGGACTGGACACTATGGGCTCTGGAGGATTCAGGACTGGACGCTGTGTTTGCTATTTTAGACTGAGATGGCTGTGTTAACTGTCAGCACCAGTCTGTTGCCATGTTCTAGGTGAGAAGCAATACCTTAGTGTTTCCAAAGTAGCCTCTCCCTGTCCACACACAGGTGCCTGCCGTCAGTCCTATTCTAGTGTCTGCCAGTCACAAAGAGAGAAAACCACAAAGGCTCTTACTCCATATCAGTCCAGAAATGGCAATCCTGCCTCGAGGAATCTCAGAATGAGGCTGTGTCTGAGAACTGTCTCCTCCCATTTTATAATCCTCTCTAATTCTGGAATTAAGGGTGTGTACCACTACTGCCTGGTCTCTATGGCAAGCTAGTGTGGCTACTGGGATAAGAGGTATGTGTCATTGCTGCCTGGTCTGTAAGGCTGGCCAGGGTGGCTCTTTTATTTTCCAATCCCCAGACAAGTTTTATTTATTAAAATACAAATGAAATGCCACCGCATGAGTCGGTAGGAAGACTCCTGTCTTTCAAGAGTCCACAGACGGGTGAGTGCAGGGCGCACGTGGCCAACTGCACCACTGGAGGGGGTCCTGGAGTCTTTAGTCTCTCGCATTCCAGACTTCCTGTGTCCCTGGGCCGAGTGTCTGTGCTACACCAGGGCTTATTGCGCATCTTTGCTCTGGAATTAAATATATTTGGAAGTGATGTTGTTTCACTGAAGGAAAAATTGGGGGGAGCTTACAAAATGAGTATGCCCAGAAGACTGAGCCACTGAGCAGTGAGATCCAGATGTGAGGAACACTGAAGCGCTTCCCAGGCTCAGTCCAGACAGCAGGAGGGAGAAGTCCTCCCATGCGGTCCTGTCTCTGGCTGCACAGAGGTGGCACACATAGTCTGCCCCTGAAGTCTCCTGCCCACTGCCATCACGGTCATACTCCAGAGAGCCCTCGGAGTGTAGGGCTCCTCAGCCAGTGCCATCGCGCCGCATTTTAAAGCTGCTTCTGCTTTCTGAGAGGCACACTGAGCAACATCTGTTGTCAACAATGGAGCTCTCCAGATAAAAGGTTTCCAAGGATGGAATTCGCAGGGTGAAGAATCAGGAATATGATCATCTGTGCTGAGGACATTGTGAAAGACGGTAGGGAGGAAGCCCCAGGCCCTGGCTCCCATAGAAACCACAATGAGGGCTGGAGAGATGGCTCCGGGGTTAAGAGCACTGCTCTTCCAGAGGTCCTAAGTTCAATTCCCAGCAACTGTCTGTAGTGAGATCTGGTGCCCTCTACTGGCTTACAGGCATACATGCAGACAAAACACTGTATACATATAAGAAAATATATCTTCAAAAAAAAAAATCTCAGTGAATCAACCCAACCAGACATTGTCTTTTACGGCCTTATAAGCTATGTCACTGTGGTAGACCCTGCAGAGACATCCTCCATGAAGACATCGCATTTAGGCCGTGGCAAGACTGAGATCGCATAGAGGAAGCAGATGCAGAGCAGAGATGGGAGGAGGTCAGAGCAGGATATAAACCCCAGGACGATGCTCCATGACCCACGTCCTCCAGCTTGGCCACCCTGTGAATCCAGCAGTGGATTCCTTGGGAAAGAGCCTCTTCCCTTGCCATCTCTGCAGACTTAGAGACACATGCAGAGGTGTGACTTCCATTGGTCCTCCTGGGCCTCTCTCGCTCCAGTTCTATTAGACTCAAGATTAGCCATGATATAAACTCTGAAAAATGGGTCAGAAGATAGGCGATCTGGGAACAGTGGAGTCAATTCCTGATTCATAGTAAATACTGTAGACACACAGCCACGGCCTGGGGATGGCTGAACAGGCCGTATGTCCAGCTTTATAGAGCAACGGAAGAACCCATGGACGTACAATGTTCCTGTTAAATCATCACAAAGATGCGCACTGCACACACACACACACACACACACACGCAACAGTTTCTCTGACACCATTGGAACTGATGTGGAATCCATCACAAGCCTTTTCCTGAGGTCAGTCTTGAGAATACTGTTTGGCTGTGCAACAAACAATTGTACTGTAGTTTAGGGGCTTTGTTCAATGATTATGTGAGCCTAAATCAATGCTTTTTTATTTTTAAAGAAAAAGAAAATTTGGGTTCCCTGAAAATTCACTTCTTACAGGGTATTTGAAATCACTAGTCTCCCCTCTTTTCTGGTTTCCATGAGAGATGGGGTGCAGTTATCATCCAAATAATTGTGTCGATATTGGAATATTGGAAATTTAGTTCAGCAGCTGCAGCAATTGAAGAAGAAGCCACGTTGGTGAACAGACATTAAGGTCCTCTGTGCCCTAATGGGAAGAGAAATACTCGTGTCTTGATTTGAATAAAAAATGTATTAAAAAGCTAAGAAATAAATCCTAAAGTCCCTGACTGTAGGCATTATACTGATTATTATAGATTTTTAATTTTCAAAACCATCAACAATAGAATGTGTTGATCTTTAACTTAAGAACGAAATATGTGAGACAAAGCTAATAATGTTTATTATTTACGTAGTTAGAACCAGAGTTTTAGAATACCACTTTCTCCTGTTAGCTGTGTGATATTTAGCAAGCTTCCTGTACTCAGACATTTTAACTTTCTAACTTTGTTCATTACTGTTTTGCACACAGAAGAGAAGAGAAGTGTGAAGGTGTGATAGCAGCCAAGCAGCCGTCTTCGGTTCACTTTTTCCCAATGATGATAGATCTGGACAACATGCAGATACGGTTGTCAGAGTCGCTTTCCAGTGAAATTCCCACCAGCTTCTATCAGATGACTAGCGCCCAGAATAGCGGTCTAACCGTATCCTCAGCAGGACCACTCACTTCTAAATCTACCATCATGAGCCTCTCCCGAGGAGACACCAGCCTGGTAAAGCAGAGTAAGTACCGAGTGTCCGACGGCCCCCACAGCACGTTTTGATTGGCTCTTCCTTTGCCTCCTTGCCTGAGGATGCGTTATCCTTTGTCCCCAGTGATGCCTGTTTCTCAGTCTGTACCACATGCAGAGTGGGTTAGCTGTGGTCAAGAATCTTTGACTCTAGACCTGAAGTAGTTATAAATGCAGGTGGCCCAAATACGACATCTCCGTAAGGAGGAAGTCTGCAGCTACCATGATGACTTATGGGTCTGCCGTTAGCATGTTCTAGAATTGTTACAGAACCAAAACTTGCAGTGTAGATAGGACCCTTCACTGAACGCTGCTAGAAAGATCAAGAGGCCTAGAGCTGCCGTGATGACGTGTTGGCCGGTTATAAGCATGTTGTAGAGCTGACGGAGAACTCAAGTTCCCAGTGTATATGTAGCTCCAGTGATCCTTCAGATGAACGCTCTGTGAGGATTAAGCAATGTCTTCTCCATCTCTGTGTAAGATGCCTGGAGCTACAGTGATAGCTAGAGAGTTAAAGTGTCCAGAGTATAGCATGAAGGGCCATTTACAAAATACTGACAGAATAAGCAATATCTTCTTTTGTGCTCTTAATAGACGCAGGGCTCGTGTACATGCAGATCAGACATCAGAAAGGGAAATAGCGCAGGAGATGCAGTAGCTGAGAGACCACGAAGGAGCAGCAGCAGGGTGCTGGCCCAGGTTGCTGTGGGCCATGCTGGCCCTCATGCTTAGCTGACGCTGTCCTGGCAGAGGCAGAACCAGCTCTTTTCTGCCCTCTACAGAGTGAGGAGGGAAGGGCATTTCACACCTGCAGAGTGGAGAGTAAAATACCAGCTTCACGGGGTTCTGCTAAGCTTAGGGTGTGTGTGGGAACCCAGCACATGGCCAACAGGCCAACACGTGCAGCTGTTAACCTCCTTGTAAGCTCCTTCTAGAATCATCTACATTTGACTTGTGTGTCCATGGCTGTCGAATGCCTCACTCTCTCTCCTCTGTGGACATTTATAGTCTGGCTCGTTTTCATCTGTATTCTGTGTATGGCTGGTATTTTCCTAGGCATGATGATATATACGATTGTATATGGCTCTCATATACAACACAGTGTGCGTCATTGTTTTTGTGACTAAGTTGAATCATCTAAAGACTCTTGCTAAATTCTTGCTGACCTTAATCCTTGACCAATATGCAAAATGTTAAACATACAAATACAAACTTTAGACCTAAGAAGGAAAAGTTGCCTTCTCTGATGCTATGCAGACCACTGTGTTTGCTGTGTGTTTGGGTTGAACTGTGGAAACCCCTGCTAATGGGAACGAAGCTTACTGGCTTCACTTTGCACAGCAAGAGGTGGGCTGGGATGCAGTCTTCTTGAGCTGCCGCAGACTCTTCTGTGGATTCAGGCCTGTAGACGCTGGGACATGATGTACCAGTCCAGTGCCATCTGTGGTCCTCAGGGAACTAAAAACAAGATCTTGGTTAATGCCTCGTTCCTTTGAGAACACAAGCACTCGTTCCTCGGGAGGAAGGATGCAGTGGATTACAGAAAGATTTACTGCCCACTGGGCTGCCGGTGCTAATTAAATTCTCGTTTCTTCTCAACAAAATCCCATGAGGAACCCTCTTCAGTCATCAGGGCTGTTCATAGAGCTGGGTGGTTCGAGATGCTTGTAGTGCACCTGAGGCCCCAGGCCCAACCCTGCCACTACAACAAAAATACTATTATTTATTCCTTTATGTAGATCACCTTTCTTTGGTTTTGTTAAAAATACCAGCGTCTAAAGCAAAATCTGAGTGGTTTGTATGCTTCCCAGGGTCACGTGAGAAAGACCCTTACCCTATAAAAGGGACAGTGCCAGCCAAAGACCGGCACCTGATTTGCCTCCAGAGTCCTCATTTTCCTGGCAGAAAGTGGTGCTGCACAGGTGGGGCTTTAATTTGGGAAGTATAGTGGGCATTAAATAGAATAAGATTGTGTTTGTATATATGCTACCCAAACTTGCCAGGTTCAGTGTTTACTCACACATACAGATGGTTTCTAGTGTGGCTAAATAATCAGTTAAATACCCAGCATGCCTATGGTGGGGAATGAGGAATGAGAAGTCCCCAAAGATGCCAGAGCCAAGATGGCTACACAGTCCGCACTCATGCCACGCTACACGGGAACATTTAGACAGCTAGATAATCTCTAAGAAATGAGGGTGCTGTTGAAAATGTTCACTTACACGTGCTTTATAGGCTCCCACCAACGTTTCTGATTTTTCTCACGGAGTTTACAGGGACAGTAAACCCTATAAAGAAAGATAATAGGAGCAAAGATGCCCTTGGATTCTTAGGATGTCTGTCCATATGTCTGTCTCACTTGCATGTCCAATTTCTTTGAAAGGCTCAAGCTTCATGACTCCAAAGAAACAACACCTAATGAGCTTTGACTCGGCCACACTTGTTCTGGGGGAAGGAGAAGATTATTTTCTTTCTTTATTTGGAGACTCGAGAAAACTCACGGCACGCTCTTCTCAATCCGAGGATGTCACCAAACACCTGTCTGTGATTCTTGAAGAAGTCGGCCAGTTTACATCCAGGTACACATTCGAATAACTTCCCATCTTCTGCCAAGGTCATATCAGTACAAAGCAGAACTCTGAGCTATTTTTGGATCCATTTATTTAAGAAAACCCCTAAGGAATTCCCTGAACTGTAACCCCTTGTGTTCTGAGCAATTAGAAATAGCCGACAGAAGTTTCTAGGGGACCAACGAAAGGGTGTGCGTTTTCCACCCTTTGGTGAGCAGGGTTGCAGTTCCCCTTATCCGTGTTTCCAGTCACTTGGGCCCACATGCCATTTAACAGATAAGAGAGGAAACCTCAGTGCTTGTTCTGCCACCTGGAAACTATCAGAATCATCCAGGGTCTGTCATAGTAAACGTGGTGATGAAGGCAAAGGTGTAGAAAGACTTTTTAATGCTTCTAAATAACAGCTGTGTGTGTGCGCGCGCACACGCGTATGTATGTGGGGTTTTGGTGTGTTTCACAGGAGACATCCACCTTGTTTGGGGGGACAGGATTTCTCATTGTCTTCGAGCTCCCTCGTAGGCTGGGAGGCCCATCAGTGAGCCCGGGGAATGTTCTCTGGACGGTCCCCACCAGTGGGGCTCCAAGTGCATGCCACTACACCCAGCTTTTTACATAGGTTCCGGAACAACCCAGGTCTTCATGCATGCATGGCAAGCCCTCTGCAGGCAGAGCCGTCTTCTTCCAGGTCAGGGTGGTCCTGCAGGCCTGCCCAGGCAGTTGGAGAGAGCTGTGTCCGGCCTGGGAGGACCTCAGAAGACACTGCATTGTTGTCCTGTCTGTTGGCATCACCCCTTGCCATGGACCAATGCCCTAATATCTTCCGGAACATTTGTGTTGATTGCGCTCTCACTGTCTCAAGCGGGGCAGATACACCATCCCTCTTGTTTTGGCACAGTTAGGATGTTTCCAGTCAGTATTTCTTTTCCAACACCACCATCTCCAACATCTCCAGGGATCGCTTTAGTATTTTCCAACAGGAGAAAAAGGTTTGTGGGCAAATAGGGCACGAAGCAGAGGGGTTGTTAGAGTTCTCACTACTCACACATTTGAGCTCTCCCTAAGCTCTCAGAGTCACGTGTGAGCTCTCCCTAAACTCTCAGAGTCACGTGTGTGAGCTCTCCCTAAGCTCTCACAGTCACGTGTGAGCTCGCCCTAAGCTCTCACAGTCACGTGTGAGCTCGCCCTAAGCTCTCACAGTCACGTGTGAGCTCTCCCTAAACTCTGAGTCACGTGTGTGAGCTCTCCCTAAGCTCTCAGAGTCACGTGTGTGAGCTCTCCCTAAACTCTCAGAGTCACGTGTGAGCTCTCCCTAAACTCTCAGAGTCACGTGTGTGAGCTCTCCCTAAACTCCCACAGTCACGTGTGAGCTCTCCCTAAACTCCCACAGTCACGTGTGAGCTCGCCCTCTGACTGAGCCCTGACCCACTTAGTTCCTTGAGAGCAGATGACTCTAAGGGGCGACCTTCCCGTCCACCCTCCTTCTCTACCTCCAATATAGTTTGCTGTCTGTTGCTGTGGTTAAACACTGACCAAGCAGATCTGGGCAAGAAAGGGTTTATCTGGCTTATACTTCCAGGTCAGAATTCACCTGTGTTGGGTGCCGGAGCAGGAACCATGGAGGAACTCTGTTTGCTGGCTCACCCTGGCTCATGCCTACCTGACTCTCCTAGATTTCCCAGGACCGTCTTCCCAAGGAATGGTGCTGCCCACCATGAGCTGAGCCCTTCTACGTCAATTAACAATCAAAACATACCCCCCAGACCTGCCCATAGACAGTCTGATCAAGGCTTTGTGCTCAGATGACCTTCACTGTGTCATATTGGCGACTAAAGCTGAGTAGTTCTCCCAAGGGATTTCCTCATTCTGTAGTCTAGAGTCAGAAGGGGCAAGCTCAGGGCTGAGACGGGCTCTGGCCGTGATTGGTGCATGGACTTCAGAGGTCCTCCTGTCACCAGACGACTCCCAATCAGACTGAGCACATCACCCTACCTGGTGGAAGTCTCTCCCCTCTTCACCAGGAAGTACGGCCCCATCCCATACACTCCCTATTACTAACTCAGATGCCACTTGTAACATTGTTGAGACTGTCACAGTCAGCGGAATGGACAGCAAGTCACAGAGCAACAAACTTGGAATCCAGAAAGCACAGTCAGCAACCTGACACTACACAGGGCCATGTTTAAGGAAAACAGGTGCCATTCATTTCCTGGTGACATAGCCTTGCATCTTCCCAATGTCCTTGCAAATCAAATGCGTGCAAAAGTTGCAGACAGGAAGACAGCACATCAGCCTCCGGCTCAGCCCACTGCAGATCACAAGCAGAGGCCTCAAGGCAACTGTCCCAGTAAAGACAAATGCAGACTTTTCAGGGAAGAGAAGGGACAGCCACTGAAGGCTGTGACATCAGATTAGCAGTGGCCTCAGAATTTCCACAGCTGTATGAAGCATTTCTCTGTAGCATATGGTCTTGTGTCAGAAGGAGGCTGAATCAAGTTCCCTGCCACGAACAACAGCTTGTTCCAGACAAGCAAATTTGTCTTATGTATGTGCATAAACACAAAGTTTAGGACAATAATAAAGCTTCACTTGGCCATGCATGATTCTTAAAAAGCAATTACATCTACTTGTTTATATATGCTACAAAAAAAGGTCAACCTATATATTACCTAAGTAAGCAAGAAATATGCAACTTCCAAAACTCTAGAAATCACAGAGACATCTCGCTGCCTGGACAGTCACCCAAAGTTCTTTTGTACTGTTGGGGCATCCATCTTCAGCCTACAGGCCCATAGTATCCAGCAGACATTTCCATGAAGCAGGAAATTTTAAAGACAGTTCAGTCACTATCTGCTGTGCCCTGCAGAATGTTTTGCGGACTCTTTCATGAGTCAGGAACCCCAAAGAATCATCTCACCTTTAGGCAAGTTCAGCAGTCCTCTCTCTGCGGGTTCTCTGTGTCCAGTTTATGCAACAGTCCAGGCAAGAGCAGTTTCTTGCCCAAATGACTATCCAACTCCATAAGGAGCCTCTTCAATGCCCATTCTCTTGAAGTAGCTGGTGCTGCCAGGAACAGACGTGTCTCATTGTCATGAAAACCCTAAGTTATTAAAAACATTTAAAATGCCATATTCTGTAGTCTTTGAAAAATATGAAGAATGCCTATCTAACTGAAATATATCTCTATATATCTAAAAAAATCTAACTAACATGACTACAAGATTGACTATTATTGATCATTATCCATTAACAACCTATATTTCCTAATTATACATTACATTTTAAAAATGAACTATATAATCACAATACCTTAATCAAGAGCAGAAATATACATATACATATAACAAAATTGACCTTAAAATCCATACCAATGCAAATTATTCATATCTATGTCATATCCCCCTTTAAATGTAAAAGAACATTTATAAACAATATTTGGGAACATGGACGCAGTTTTTTCTCTCCAAACTGCTTCCTGCTGTATGGGGGTGCTGTTATTCAGGTCTTTTATGGTATAACCTGTGTGCCAGGTTCATCTCAGTCAGCAGTTGAGTGAAGTAATTTTTGAGGGTGTTCACAGCAACCTTTCAGGAGGATTTGGTCTATCATACCATATTGGGATAGAAGCAATTCACAGGGTCTCATCCTCTGTGAAAACAAAAGAAGAACTTTTCCAAAGCATCATAATCTTAGATCCAAATTTTAAAGTCAAGGTATTCTCAAAATATCTATGTTGGATTAGTTCAGCAGTATTTATAAACAATTATCTTTTAGCAGCTGTTGCTCCTTCCTCAGCATTCAAACAATTTAAAGAGAGCATAATAGCATACATTATCAAGATTCTCTGTGGATTTTCCATCTTTATGTGGCTTTATTTTAACCTCTGTTTCTTTTATTTTAACTTTTTGAGACAGGTTCTCTGTATATCTTTGTCCTAGAATAACTCTGTAGACTGGGCTGTCCTTGAACTCACAGAGATCCAACTGTCTCTGCCTCCCAGGCATTGAGATTAAAGGTGTGCCCTGCCACACCTTGAGGTCACAGAGGTCAATCTACCTCTGCCTCCCAAGTGTTGAGATTAAAGGTGTGTACCACCACACCCAACTATTCTCTTTGCCCTTTTATCTTTTAAGGACCTTATGCTTTTTTTTCCTCCCAGGCCTACATATATTTTTAAACACATTCTAAACCATTTAGAGGTTTTCTTTGTCTTTGAATCTCTCTTTACTGTGTATCCTCTTTTTCTGACCACATGAGTCTTTATGGAGAGGATTAAAGCCGTGGCTTTGATGGCTGGATCCAGCCCATTCTTTAGCTTTCCAGCCTCATGGCGGAGGTACCGGCTGTAGCCATTTTTATTGCCACAACTCTGTGGCATTTCAAGGTCCCTGCCAGCAAGCAAGCTACAGCATTCTACTCACAGACCACACTCAGTCAGACTGCCTGCCTGAGTCAGAGTTTGCCCAGGCAGGATGGCCCAGAAAGCCGACATTTTAAAACGACGCAGCTTTTTTCCTGTTATGGCCGAAAACTGAAAAGCATGCGTTCAGCTTTTCATCAACACCATTTAAATGTTTCATGGCAGGACCTCTTAAAAGATCTACAGGGTTTTGCAGCTAAAGCTGAATCAGGAAACTTCTCTTAGATGAGAGCGCTTGCTTGCCTCTAGTAAGCAGAGCAAACTCCAAAAATTGCTGCTACCAGGAAAACATGCTTTACTCTATTCTTTCCCAAGCTTTCTCAGGCTTTCTGTGGATGCGGTTATCCACGTTGGGCACCAGTCTGTACATGAGGGCCTGCTTGGCACACAAACATCCAGTCTCATAAAAGCCATTGAAATGCTTTAAAGCCAGAGTTTGCACTGGCGACACAGCCCAGGAACCCCCACAGCTTTTTTTCTGCCACTATTGCTGAAACAGGAAATCTCTCTACGGCACATCCTAGCAAACAGCAAAAGTCTGTGTTAAACTCTCTTTCTCTCCTTTTTAAGCCCTCTCAGGTTTTTAAGTGGATTTAGTCCATCATGTTGGAGCGCCATTTGTAGTGATGAGGCGAGCAGGCCTGCTTTCGTCCCACCCAGCTCCCACACGGTTAGCTTAGCCCCAGAAATCACAACACACAAACTGTATTCATTTAAACACTGCCTGGCCCATTGTATCTATCCTCTTCTTGGCTAACTCTCATATCTTGCTTAACCCATTTCTATTAATGTGTATCACCACTAAGTGGTGGCTTACCAGGAAGATTCTAACCTAAGTCCATCTCGGAGAGGAGAGGCATGATGTCTACCTCACTGCCTTCTTCCTCCCAGCGTTCTGCTCTGTCTACTACGCCCACCTAATTTTCTGCCCTATTAAAAGGCCAAGGCAGCCTGTTTATTAACCAATGAAAGTAACACATAGACAGATGACCATCCTACATCATGCTTTAGAACAAAGGTCAAATAGAGGCCATTATGAGATAAGACAAAGGAAATCTGAAAAGAAAAAAATGTGTTCTATAAAAAATAAAAGTGGGTTTGAGAGTTTGATTTCAGGGGTGCCTATGATGGAGGGAAAACCAACTCCATAAACTGTTCTCTGACTTTACATACATACAGCAGCACCTGCATGTATGTACACACACACTAGCAGCACCTGCATGTATGTACACACACACACAGACACACACACACACCAGCAGCACCTGCATGTATGTACACACACACAGACACACACCAGCAGCACCTGCATGTATGTACACACACACACCAACAACACCTGTATGTATGTACACACACACACAGACACATACCAGCAGCACCTGCATGTATGTACACACACACACCAGCAACACCTGTATGTATGTACACACACGCATGCATGCTCACACACACATGAATAAATGTAGTTAAATAAATAAAATGTAAAAATCTCATTATGGTTGTGGTTACGGAAGAGTAAGGAGGAAACAGAACAAATATGTGGATGAACTATTTTCCCAGGAACAGACAATTTCTCCCAAAGCACTAAAGACAACAAGCCAAAGATTCAGTGACCAGTGACCATTGCCAACTCACAGCACATAAAGAAAGAAGCCAGCCAACACAGGTCCATTGTAAAGACTTCTGAAAGAACATGCTTAAATATTTAAAGACATCTTCAAAGACACAGCGAAAACATTGCCGCACAGCTGATTTTCTGTGAGGAAGATGAGGAGGAGGAGGAGGAGACAGTGACAAGGGACACTGAAATAAGTCTTCAAGAAGAGCATTGGGATGAAACCTGCCGGCCAGATAGGCAGCGGTTCTGACTTGGTGCTCCTAAATCATACAAGTGTGCATGTTAGTTTTATTCTGTTGCCACCAACTTCCTGAGTTAAAATAAGCAGAAGAGCACCTCTCTTTGAATATAGTTTGTTATATATGTGTGTGTGTGAGAGAGAGAAAGAGAGGGCAGAAGGAGCGAGCACACACATGTAGAAACTAAAGAACAGCCTGTGGGGTTCCTGTCTCTCCTGCCGCCATGTGATTCCAAGCATAGAACTCAGGTCAGCAGGCTTGGCAGCAAGGGCCTTTACCTGCTGAGCCATCTTGCTGGCCCTCACTACAATTCTGTAGGTATAAGACTGGGTTGGTTTGCCTGCCTTTTATTGTTAGAGTTTCACAAAGTCACAGCCAGGTATCAGACAGCTGAGCTCTAATCTAAGGCCTTGGGGGAGAACCTGGGATCAAGTTCTTAGTTTTAATCTAAGGCCCTGGCTGAGAACCTGGGATCAAGTTCTTAGTTTTAATCTAAGGCCCTGGCTGAGAACCTGGGATCAAGTTCTTCCAGATTTAGCCAAATACAGTTCCTTCGGCTTGGGGACTGGGGTCCCACTTCCTGGCCGAGCATCATCATCGAGTCCTCAGTGTTCATGCACGGGCTCTGCAGCCACCAGCAGCAGTGAGCTCAGGTCATCCCTGCTGCTCACCTGGAGTTACTCCCTGAACTTAAAGGACTCATTGGCTTGGGGGCCTGTTAAAAAGCTAGGGTAGTCTCTCTCTTACAACCTACACCTTTGCGGCTGCAGAACCTCTCCTGTTTTTCACAAGCATAGTCACAGGCCTCGGGGTGAAAGGTGGGTACTTTAGGCTACCACAACAGTCTAAACGCAGCTAGCACAAAACTGAAGAAAGAAAATGAGGGAAGAATTATCAAAAAAGGAAAAAAAATAAATACTGCAAAGCAGTGTGAGCTGGTTGTTCATCACGGGCACAGGCTGGAAGCCCTGTCAGTAGAGCAGATAGAGCCTCTCGGTGTCCAGGCCCTTGCTGCAACCAGCAGGGACAGCATGTGTGACCTCATAGCACGCCACGAAGATGAGCTCATACAGTCCCTGGACTGATTTGAGAGAGAGCTGTGGCCTCTGCCTTAGGGATGTGTGTGCATAGATTAAACATACTATCAATCAGTTATAAAAATGCAAAATAACAGATAGAAAGGTGAATAAAATGGTATTAAACGCAGTTTGCCAAAAAAGAAAACTAAGTGGCCAGGTCAGGGGCGAGCACGTTAAAACCATGACACATTTTGTAATCGTGGTGCTGAAAAAGTTAATTGTTCTCAAATGGAAGGGCTGGCAAAGATGTGGGCACCCAGACAAACAGACATGGGGGAAGCAGGAGAATGCGGGCATGGGACGTCATGAGGAGAAGAGAGGGATGTCAGGCCAGTTTTAGGCAGTGATACAGTTCAGTTCACAGCTGGTCAGAAGGATGAGCTCAGAGGTACCACTAGGGACTTGTGGGGAGTTGTCCCCATAAGTTGTGTAGAAGCTGCTTAGGCTTAGTGGCTTCCTGCAACCTCAGTGCTCAGAAAGGGAAGACAGGAGACCTCCGGGCAAGGCTAGCCAGACCAGCTAAAAGAGCCATCTCTGCATTCAGCAAGAGTTGCTGCCTCGATGGATAAAGGCGGAGTGATCAAGGAAAACAGCCAACATCAAACTCATGCCTCCACACGCACACTCATGAGCACGTGCAAACACATGTGCCTCCCACATATGAACAAGCAAATTCATACACGTGTATGCAATAACTTTTTAAATTTGGCATTATAGATAAGAAAATGAGGGAAAATAGATAAAGCAATGCAAATATGTTTTTGTCAAATGACTGATATGTGAACAACTTGAATTATTATAATCAGCTGAGAAATGTCGGTGCTGTTTCTAACTCACTACGAGCCAGTCATGACCTTCAGGCATGTTGCAAGCGACACTCTGGAAAATGCAGATGTGTCCATAGCTAACACAGGCTCTGTAACATACTACAGTCTAGATACAAATTAGAGGCAAAAACGCCATTGTCTATGTATCATGTCACGTTCCAGAATTATTTTGAACTCACGGTGGCTGTTCATCCCCATGGTCACTTTATCAGGAAATAGCTCTGTGCTTTAACTTTTGGTGTCCGTAGCTTAAGACTTACTTTTTTATGCGTATGTGTGAGTGCCTGCATGTATGACTGCACCAGATGCGTGTGGTGTCCTTGGAGGCCAGGAGAGGGCATCAGATCCCTGAACTGGAGTTACCAGAGGTTGGGAGTTATCTTGTGTGTTCTGGAAACCGAACCCAGGTCCTCTTAAAGGCCAGAGAGTGCTCTTAGCCAGTGAGCCATCTCTCCAGCCCCTTGATTTCCTTTCGAGTGTTTGGTGTCATGGTGGCTTCTCTTGAGAGCAGGATGCAGAGCAAGCTGTAACCACGCTTTCCTGTAACACTGGGCACCTGAGCACATCTTGGGTTCCCTTTGTTTTATGTCAAATGGATATTATTACTGCTCTAATAGGTCAAGACTGTTTTCTTATGTTGCTAAATACACAAGTTCGGGGGGCTGGAGAGATGGCTCAGTGGTTAAGAGCACTGGCTGCCCTTCCAGAGGCACCAGGTTCAGTTTCCCCCACCTACATGGCAGCTCACTATTGTTTGTGACCCTAGCCCACATGTCACGTTCCAGAATATCTGGCTTTATTTCATTTTGGGGCTCTCCTGACGCCTTAGGGAGGTTGGAGCTTGCTGCCTAGACTAAACTGACCTTGACCTTGTGATTCTCCTGCTGCTCTTCTGGGTGCTGAGATTTTAGGCAGGCACTGTATTACCGAGTTCTTACTATGTACCAAAGACCTTTCTACCCAAACCCACCTTCTATATCTTATATTTTAGTTCTCTCGAAGACATCAAAATAGCTGATGTAAACGTCAAGGGATTGTTCGTGCGGCTCATTAACTCTTCCGAAGACAAAGAAGTGGGGATTGGAAACCACATTCTCCAACAGAATGTGAACGGGCACGCAGTTTCCCTGTACCGGTTCCCCCACAACGTCGCGATGCAGGCCAGTTCCACAGTGACAGTAAGTATGAGCTGGAGCCATCATAAATTTGAAGTAACATGACCTAGGACCACCATCAGCTAAGAACACTGTGAGCTGGGGACACCATGAGCTGGAGACACCATGAGGTGGGAACACCATGAGCTGGGGACACCGTGAGCTGGGGACACCGTGAGCTGGGAACACCATGAGCTGGGGACACCGTGAGCTGGGAACACCATGAGCTGGAAACACTGTGAGCTGGGAACACCAAGAGCCAAGAGCACAATGATGTGAGAACAGTATGCATTGGATACCATGTAGAGATACAATGTCCTGGGAACACCCTGAGCTGAGAATGCACTGAGTTGGGAAACCATGAGCTGAGAGTATCAGGAACTGGAAATGCCTTAAGCTAGAAACACCATGACCTGAGAATATAGTTAGTGAGAATTTCTTGGGCCCAGAATACCTTGGAATGGAAGTCCCGTGTCTAGAAGATACAGTGGATTAATAATGTAGGAATCCCAGGAGCTGAGAACAAGCTGAGCTGGGAATACCACGACCTGGGAAAGCTGTGAGTTAGGAGCCCTGGGAGCTAGAAATACAGTGAGTTAGGAGGACCATGTGCTGGGAATCTCAAGATTTGACCAGGATTTGAGAATATGGTGATCTGGGGAAAAACAAGAGCTGGGAATCACTTTCGCTAAAATAGAGTGAGGTGGGAATATGGTGAGCTGGGGATATGATGAGCTAGGAATACCGTAGGCTGGGAACATAATGATGTGAGAATTCCAGGAGCTGAGAGTTCTGTGATCTGGTAAATATAATAAGTTTGAAATATCATGATCTGGGACCACCAGAAGCTGAGAACATTGTGAACCGAGAATGCCAGGATCTAAGATTATGGTGAGCTGAGGATACTGTGAGCTGAAACTATATTAGTGTGCTAGGAATATCAGGAGCTAAGGAAAACTATGAGCCAGGACCACCTTGAGCTGAACCCCGTGAGCAAGGGTTCATGAGATAATAAGGTGAGCTGGGGGATACCAGGAGCTGGAAGAAGAGTGAGCTGGGCACATTGTGAGCTGAGAATATCAGAGCCAAGTGTGTAAAGAGAAAACTCCCTCTACAGCCAGCCTGTGACTTGGCACAAGCGGCCTCTTGGACACTTGGACTTTGTACTAACTGTGATGTTTGTGATTTATGGTGGGACCAATAGATCCCCACACTTCCATCTCCACACCATTCTCCAGTTTAGTATACGGTCTTAGTTTGTCTTGTCTGCTAGCTATATCCTAAGTTCCTAAACTAAGAGAACCGTTCTTAAAACACAAGCCAAGAGATTATTGGCCCAGAGAGCAGATGCTAAGTCGGTTCTCCACTCGGCCCATGTCTCTCCGAGCCTAGGGTGTCCAGTCCTTGGCAGTAGGGTGTAGGAGTATACCATCTTTGTTTGGCCTGACATTGCGAGAAGATGTTGTCATCTACAAAGTTCACATTGGACAACAATACAATCAAGTTACAAAACAAAACAAACCCTTAAAGATGCCTCAGTAAGTTTACAATGTGCAGTTGGGCTGCCTTTGTAGCTATCCTGGGTCACTCGCAGCCCACAGGCCATGGACTGGACAGTTGTTTAAATTGTGCTCAGTCACTGTTTATGTTCCATTATATTTTAAAATAACTTATAAGCACAGATAGTCTGGACCCGCAGGAGGCCATGACACAAGGATCCCATGTGCCCTGGAGCCCAGCCCAGGCAAATGCAGGGAGACCTTTCTCATCTTTAATGACACTGAAAACCTTATCTGTTCAGAAAGATTAATAACGGTGTGACATCTATGGATCTAAGCGGAACCCCAGTGGCACTTGTCAGCAACAAACTGCTTTCTCAAAGGTGTGGGCAGCAGCAGCAGAAGCAAAGCCCGAGCCACCAACAGACTTTGTTTGGGAGGAACAGAACAGGTTCCGATCCAGTCCTGACTGCACGACCATCCTGTGCAAACCCAACGGTGAGGTAAGTGTCGGGGTCAAAGGTTGTTACCGGGAAGCCAGCCCACGTGTTCCCCTTCTGCTCTGTTGGTCTCACTTCCTGCAAAGCGTAACTAGAGTCCCCTCAAATTCCGCAGCTGTCCCTCCACCCTGTGCTCACAGCTGGCCAGCAGGAGCTGTGGTATCCTGTGTTATGAAGGCTGCTACAGATTCAGAGTTGGGAGTGGGTTTTGTTTTTTGATGCTATCTGGAAGTGTGGGATAAGGAAGGAAATGGATACAGCATTCTCTGGTCAGTTTATGCAAATTATTTCTTGAGATTCTCGCCTATTCTCCAGGCTGAACTTGCACAAGAATTGTAACACAAAGTCTTGATCTCTGCACTCAGGAGGTGCTTAAGCTAATGGAAGGGCTTATACTCTTAATTTGAAATGACTATCTTTTATACAGACTACAATTGGATATGTTAAAATCTGATTCTTTCCCAATGCTTGATACTTTTACGCTTTTCTTGGTATGATTCTAGCATAGTTAATAACCCACGGACATACCTGTAGGATTTAACCATATCCCTCCTTACGACAGTCAAATACTATTTGTTTTTCAAAACTGGTCTTCAGATTTTTCTAAAATTCTTGTCTTCTTATTCCAAGACAAATTTGCTATGCTTCAGAAGCACTAGCCCCCACACTGTGTTGATCAGGATATGTGTTTCTTTCTTCCTTCATTGCATGGCCATACTGGGTCACTCTGCATGTAGAACAGGCTAGAGTGAGATTTTAAAGATTTTAGTGTGTGTGTTTTTTTCTGTGTGTGTGTGTGTGTGTGTGCTATGTATGTGAATGTGTGCTGTGTATGTAAATCTGTGCTGTGTGTGTGTGGTATGTGAGTATGTGTTGTATGGTATGTGTATGAATGTATACTGTGTGATGTGTGTTTGAGTGTGTGCTGTGATGTGTATGTGTGTACCCACAGAGTAAAGAAGAGTGTGTCATAGTCTCTAGATTGAAGTTACAGGTGGTTGTGAACCACCTGGTGTGGGTGCTGGGGACTGAACCCGGGTCCTCTAGAAGAGCAGCAATCTTCCCTGCTGAGTTATCTCTCCAGCCCTTGATGTGCTCAGGATTGGGAACTTCTAGCAATTGTCTCTGACTGTAAAGATAAGGATATGTAGTCCAGGTGACTTACTCATTCTCCTGAGATATCGTCAGCAAACACAGATTGAGGCTGATGGTCGACCAATCAAATGCCCTAAGGCTGATGGTCGACCAATCAAATGCCCTAGATTAAGACTGATGCTTAGCCAATTAAATGGACCAAAGAAGCAAGCTGGTGTAGCAATCCTAATATCCAACAAAATAGACTACAAACCAAAATTATCAAAAGAGATGAAGCATACACCTTCTTCTCAGAACCTCATGGAACATTCTCCAAAATTGACCACAAAGCAAATCTTAAAAGATACAAAAAAAAAAAATTGGAATAACCACCGTATCTTATTGGCTCACCATGGCTTAAAGTCTTAGTTGAACAATAGCACAACCTTCAGAAAGCCTACAAACTTATGGAAACTGAACAACACTCAACTTAATTACCATAGGGTCAAGGAAGAAAAAAATTAAAGACTTCCTAGAATTCAATAAAAACCAATGCACAACATGCCCATACTTATGGGATACAATAAAAGCAGTGTTAAGAGAAAAGTTGATAGCACCAAGTGCCTACATAAAGAATTTAAAGAAATTTCATACTAGCAATTTAAAATCACACCTGAAAGCTCTAGAACAAAAAGAAGCAAACTCACCCAAGAGGAGTAGACAACAGGAAATAAACTGAGGGCTAAAATCAATAAAATAGAAAAAAAGAGAACATTACAAAGAACCAATGAAACAAAGAGTTGGTTCTTTGAGAAAATAAACAAGATAGACAAACCCTTATCCAAACTAAATAAAAGGCAGAGACAGAATATCCAAATTAACAAAACAGAAATGAAAAGGGGACATAACAGCAGACACTGAGGAAGTCCAGACAATCATTAGGTCATACTTCAAAAAACCCATACTCCAGAAAATTGGAAAATCTAAAAGAGATGAACAAATTTCTTGATAAATCTACATATCAAAAGTAAACCAAGATCAGATAAACAATTTAAATAGACCTATAACCTCTAAGAAAATAGAAGCATTCATTAAAAGTCTCCCAACCAAGACAACCCCAGGACCAGATGGTTTCAGGACAGAATTGCTGTGGGACAATGGTCTTGTACCCTGTAAAGATTTGTCACTTGTTTTGGTTTAATGAAAGACTGATTGGCCAGTAGCCAGGCAGGAAGTATAGGCAGGGTAACCAGAGTAGGGGAAATCTTGGACTACGAGGAAAAGCTCAGTCTGTAGCCATCACCTAGTCGCAGAGGAAGCAAGATGAGAATGCCTCACTGATAAAAGGTACCAAGCCATGTGGCTGACACAGACAAGAATTATGGGTTAATATAAGATGTAAGAGTTAGTTAATAAGAAATCCTAAGCTAATAGACCAATCATTTTATAATTAATATAAGCCTCTGTGTGTTTATTTGGAACTGAACAGCTACAGGACCAGATAGTATAGAAACCTTTGTCTACACAGAATTCTACCAGACTTTCAAAGAAGAGCTAAAAACTAGTACACCTCAAATTATTCCACAATATAGAAACATAAGGAACATTGCCAAAATCTATGAGGCCATAGTCACCCTAATACCCAACCACATAAAGACTCAACAAAGAAAGAAAATTACAGACCAATTTCCCTTCTGAACACGGATGCAGAAATACTCAACAAATTAACTGGCAAACTGCATCCAAGAGCACATCAAAAAGATCACCCACCATCATCAAGTGGGCTTCACTCCAGAGATGCAAGGATGGTTGAACACATGAAAATCTGGCAATGTAATCCACTTATAAACAAACTAAAAGAAAAACACATGATCATCTCATGAGATGCTGAAAAATCCTTTGATATAACCCAAAAACCCTTTATGATAAAAATCTTAGAGAGATCATGGAAACAAAGAAAATACCTAAATATAATAAAAACAATATACAGCAACCCAACAACTAACATCAAACTAAATGGAGAGAAACTCAGAGTGATCCCACTGAAATCAAGAATGACAAGGCTGTCTACTCCCTTCATATTTATTCAATATAGTACTTGAATTTCTAGCTAGAGCAATCAGACAACAAAAGAAGATCAAATGGTTACAAATTGTAAAAGAAGTCAAAGTATCACTATTTGCATATAACATGATAGTCTACAAAGTGATCCCCAAAAGGGAACTGCTACAGCTTATAAACACCTTGAGTGAAGTGACTGGGTACAAGCTTAGCTCAAAAAAGAAAAAAAATCAGAAACCCTCTCATACACAAATGATAAAAGGCTGAGAAAGAAATCAGGAAAAAAGTAATCCTCCACAAACAATATAAAATATCTTGGTATAACTCTAACCAAGTAAGTGAAGGACCTCTATGACAAGAACTTAAAGTCTTTGAAGACAGAAAGTAGAGAAGAAAACAGAAGGTAGAAAGATCTCTTATGCTCATAGATTGGTGGGATTGACACAGTAAAAATAGCCATTTTGCCAAAAGCAATTTACAGACTCAACTGCAGTCCCTATCATAATCTCAACACAATTCTTTACAGACAGCAAAAGAAAAATACTCAACTTCATATGGAAAAACAAAAAACCCAGGATAACTAAAACAATCTTGTACAATAAAGGAGCTGCTGGAGGTGTCACTGTTCCTGATCTCAAGATCTACTGCAGAGCTATAGCAATAAAAGTAGCATGGCATTGGCATAAAAACAGACACACTGACCAACAGAATTAAATTGAAGACCTAGAAATAAATCCACACACCTCTGAACACTTGACTTTTGACAAAGAAGTCAAAACTATACAATGGAGAAAAGAAAGTATGTTTAACAAATGGTGCTTACATTACTGGATGTCAGCATATAGAAGAATGCAAATAGATCCATATCTATTGTCTGGCACAAAACTCAAGTCGAAGTGAATCAAGACCTCAATATAAAACTAGATACACTGCACCTAATAATAGAAACTGGGGAATAGCCTTGAACACATTGGCACAGAAGGCAGCTTCCTAAATAGAACACCAGTAGCACAGGCATTAAGACTAACAATTAATAAATGAAATCTCATGAGACTGAAAAGCTTCTGTAAGAACACTGTCAGTAGGACAGAACAGCAGCTACAGAATGGGAAAATCTCTTCACCAACCCCAAATCTGATGTAGGGCTGATCTCCAAAATATATAAAGAACTCAAGAAACTAGGCATCAAAAAAATAATCCAATTTAAAAATGGGGTATTAACCTAAACAGAGAATCTCAACAAAAGAATCTCAAATGCCAGAGAAATACTTGAAGGGATGTTCATCAACTTTAGCCATCAGTGAAATGCAAATCAAAACGACTGAGATTCCATCTTATATTGGAGACCAGCCTCAACAAATACAACTCTTGCCAGGGTAGGCTCATGGGGATCAGAAATGTAAGTAAAGAACACAAAGACATGTTTAAAACTAATGAAACAGAAGCCATAGAATAGTACTGGGAGGGAGTTCCGGTGAATACTGAAATCACTACATTTAATTTTCCATACACTTTTATACCCCAGTACCAAAGGGAGAAGGCAACGAAAGACTTCTTTAACATGATCCAAAGAACAACTCAACAGTTAATTGCTTCAACACTTTGAGATATCAAGTCATTAGCATTCTGTTGTTTAGGCAGTGAAGCCACCCTAGACCAAGTATCCTGAAGGAAGTCGTTTCCCAGGTAACATCATATTACAAAAGAAGGAGCAAAAGTATGCTTTCATATCCTGACCATCTGTCAGGATGGAATGGATCTACGTGCATGAGCCATCGTAATGTCAAAAGACCCGAGTAATCACATCCTGAGTCAGGATGTGTAGCTATACTTGCTGTCAACAATATTGAGCAAACTCCAAAGTCTCTGACCATCAGACAAGGTGGAATAGGCTCACATTTTTGGGCCTCCACAGTCTTACACCTATCAGAATGGCTAAGATCAAAAACAAATAACAGCTTATGCTAGAGAGGATATGGAGCAAGAAGAACACTCTTCTATTTCTGGTGGGAATGCAAACTTATACAATCACTTTGGAAATCAATATATTAGTTTCTAAGAAAATTGAGAATCATCTACTTCAAGACCCAGCAATACCACTCAAATGATGTTCAATCATACCACAAGGATACTTGCTCAGCTATGTTCATAGCAGCTTTATTTATAGCAGCCAGAACCTGGAAACAACCTAGATGCCCCTCAACCAAAGAATGGATGAAGAAAACGTTGTACATTTACACAATAGAGTATTACTTAGCTGTTAAAAATAATGACATCAGGAAATTTGAAGGCAAATGGATGGAACGAGAAAATAATCACCCTGAGTGAGGTAACCCAGACCCAGAAAGACAAACATGGTATGTACTCACTCATAAGTGGATATTAGCTGTAAAGTAAAGGATAACCAAGCTATAATCTACAAACCCAGAGAGACCAGGTAACAAGAAGGGCCCAAGAGGGAGACACAGGGATCTCCCAGAGAAGGGGAAATAGATCTCCTGGGTGGAATGGGGGCAGGTGGGCATGGGAACATGAGGGATCAGGTTGTGGGGGGGGGACAGTGCCGAGAGAGGTAAATGGAAAGGGGGGCTTTATGGAGTCCCAGATGCAAGGAAAACTTCCACAAGTCTATAAGGATGGCCCCAGCTATGATTCCTGGCATTGATGGGTGCACGGCCTGACTGGTTCATCCCCTGTGTTTAGATTGCTGACAACCCTGGTTGTCATCAGAGAGCCTTCATCCAGCAACTGATGGAGGCACATGCAGAGACCAATGGCTAAACATTGGGCTAGGCTTGGGGAGTCCTATCGAGGAGAGTAAGGAGGGGTTTTAGGAGCCTTGGAGTCAAGGACATCAAAGGAAAACCCACAGAAATGGCTAGCCTGGCTCATGGGAACACACAAATGTAGTGATGAGGCGAGCAGGCCTGCTTTTCATCCTACCCGGCTTCCGCACAGTAGCTTTACACCCGAAATAACAACACACAAATTGTTTTCTTTTAAACACTGCTTGGCCCATTAGCTCTAGCCTCTTACTAGCTAACTCTCACATCTTGATTAACCCATTTATAATAATGTGTGTAGCACCACAAGGTGGTGGCTTACCAGGAAAGATTCAGCATGTCTGACCTGGCGGCTGGCTCCATGGCATCTGACCAACTTCCCTTCTTCCCAGCATTCTGTTCTGTCTACTCCACCCACCTATGTTCTGACCTGTCAGGCCAAGCAGTTTCTTTATTAATTAACCACTGAAAGCAACAGATAGACAGATGACCCTCCTCCATCACAGAGTCTGAACCAACAACCAGGGAGTGTACATGGGACTGACCGAGGCCCTCTGTATTTATGTGACAATTGTGCCAGGGTCCATTTGCAGGACTCCTGGCAATGAGAGCAGTTCAGTCCCTGGTTCTTTGGCTGGCTCTAAGGAACCTGTTCCTCATGCTGGTTTGCCTTGTCCAGACTGAATACAGAGAGTGGTGCTTGCTATTACGGAAGCTTGATTTGCTTTGCTGATGCCCCTGGGGAACCTGAGGATAAGTGGGAGAAGGGGGTGGTGTGAGGTGGGGAGGAAATGGGAGGAGAGGAGGGAGGGGTCTTTAATAGGGATGTGAAATAAATTAATTTTTAGAGAAGTGATGGTTGGGATGTGAAATGTCAGGACACCTGCCTCCCAGTAGGGGGCGCTGTATGAGGGGGTTGAACTTTTGGGAGGTTGGTCTTCTCTGGAGGAACTGTAGGTGGCTTCTTCCTTTTGTGCCTTCTGTGTCCACGGTATGAGGGGTTCTGCCAAATCCTCCCATCACCATGGAGCCACTCCATCATGCTCACCCACCACAAGGGGCTGAAATCCCTGAGACCACGAGCCAGCATCAGTGATACTTACTGGCATTAATGCCCATCATCCGACTGTCGCTTCAGAAACCGTCATGATCCTCCAGAAAATCTCTTCCTCCCTTCAGTCATTGCTTATTTTGTACTTGTCCTGGTGGTTTATGTCAGCTTGACACAAGCTAGAGTCAGTCATCTCGAAAGAATGGACTTCAGTAGAGAAGGTGGCTATCGATCAGCCTATAGTGCAGGAGAGCCCAGCTCCCTGTGGGTGAGGTGACACTGGGCAGGTAAGCCTTGCCTAACTAAGAAAGCAGACTGAGCAGGAGCCACGGGGAGAAAGCCAGTAAGCAGAGTTCCTCCATAGCCTCTGCTTCAGTTCCCCATCCTTGGGTTATATCTCGTCAGAAAAAACCCAGCTGTGATAAATCAATGGCATTGCTCATTTAGAAAATGCACCCTTAATGAGAAGGTGAGAAGATTCTATGAGACCCTAATAAAAACAAGCAATTCTAAAAAAAAAAAATTAAAAAATAAAATAAAAAATTTTTAAAAGATCACCCCATTCTTACCTCAGTTGAAACTCGTCCTCACTCTGCAATCACGAGAAAGGTCTTCCTGGGAAATCTATTCCTGTCTACCTGCTGACTGAAGCAGACAGGCCTGAGGTTCCACCAGACACCGAGTGACAGTAAGCTGTGGCCATAAATCCTGTATGACTCCAACATGACCAGTGGACAGCGTCTTGCCCTGTTTTTAAAGTCCATAGACTCATAGCACATTGCTGATGACAGTATATAAGCTCATATTTGCAGGGATCAAACAGAATGGTGCTGCCTACAAAACTGCAGGCTTTCTGGCACTTTTTGGTGCTTTCCCAGGCCCTTGTTTTGCATTTAAGATCCAGATAGGGAACAGACCCCTTCTTCACAGTGGGAGTTCAGAGGAGGGCTCTTTTAAGGAATCACAGCAGGATTGCACTTGACCCGGAAGTGTCTCTGCTGGTGTGTACCCAAAGAACATGTAGAGCATAAATAGTCTGGAGAACTAATGTGTGGCACATGGAATATAAGCAATAAAATGGCATTGTATCTGGGAATTTCTAAAGTAAATTTCACTAGCTCTTGTCGCAGATATGTTTAATATATATGTATGTATAAATGTATATATTCTGTAATTAATGTTGAAAACTTAAAAAGACAATAAAATTTATTTTTAGAAATATATTCTGAGGTGTAAAGTTCACATCTTTAATCCCAGCACTCTGGAGGCTGAAGCAGGAGGATCACCATGACTTCTAGAATAGCCTGAGCAACCCAACAAGTTGGTTGCTCAACCCAGACAGCAGAGTGAGAGCCAGAGCCTACCTCAGACAGAAACCCGGAAGCAAAGCTGAATAACAGCGCAGTAGGCCTGTGGCCGCAGATACAGCTCCAGTGATAGTTCATACTGAGAGCCCTCTTCGTTTCTGTTAGGCGATCGCCTGGTACACTCCGATCCACTGGAAGCAAGCATGGGAGAAGTTAGAGACCGACATTGAATTTGAGAGATGCTCAGTAGTGATTCCAACAGTGAAAAGCCATCTGTTTGGGTGGACAGTGGCATCTGCGTCCTCCATAAATAAGGAAAAACCAGAGTCAGCAAAGAGAGAGTCCTCCCAGTGCGAGATAGAGCACACCCGCCCTGCTCTCAGGAGGTAAAGAATACTTCGTTTCCTGTTTCAGTACCCGAGCCTGTGGGACGCCCTGATCAGTCAGTGGGCCGTGGCTCCAGTACAGTGTAGCACTGAAGAGAGCGGAGATCTGCGTACAGGCTGTGAAGGGTTAATCCTGAGGTCCCTGAGCCCCTTAAGAAGACGCTCTTGGCAAGGTAACTGTAGAGAGGTGGGAAGGTGACAGCGTCTCCGTGTGCTTAGCAGGCTCAGTGGAAGCAGAAGCATGCGATGAATTTATCCTCCAGTAGCTGGGGTCAGAGTTGCAGAATTCCATTCCTCTTTAGCCAAATGCTATAGGTAACACAATAAATACCCTGGCCACCAGATCCAGGAAGACATACTCTTTCTAAACATTATTATGGTCCATCTCTATCTAATGTATGGGTGTTTTGCCTGCCCTTATGTATGTATAGCCTGTAGCCACAGAGACTAGCAGAGGACTTCCGGGAGTTACCGATTGCTAAAAGCCACCGTGTGGGTGCTGGAAACTGAAGCAGGTTCTCTGGAAGAGTGGCCCGTGTTGGCAACTGCTGAGCCAGCTCTCCAGCCCTCTCTGGGTTCCTTAAGTGGGCTTTCTCTCTCATCGCACCTCCAATGCTAATACTACTACATAAAATAAATGCCTTTGATTTCAAATCGGTCTTTCTCTTGTCGCAGAGAAAAGGAAATCTCGCCGACCGTTTTACCCAACCGGAGTCCTTGGTGCCGCAGCCCCTATGCCTCTCCGCATCCCTACTGTTCGCTCATCGAATCACAGGACTCAGACTTTTCCGAGAGCAGGTTGGGTGCACAGCTGAAGCCTCAGCCAGCCAAGCCTGAATCAGCCCCAGGTAAGCCAAACGAATGCATATGCGAGGAGAGAGGAAGAGATGAAGATTCGGGGGAGAGGAGAGAGCAAGGGGACAGCTTGTGCTCATGTGCGATGTATTAAAAACTACTCAGCCCCACGTGCCAGACTGTTTGAGCTCTTTGTCTCGACTATTACCTGAGAGAAATAGTTTGAAGAAGATATTCATCTTGGCTCATGCAGAGCTAGGTAGAGGCCTGTGTGGTTTGCCTGCTTTTCACCATGACGGAAGGGTGGGGTGAGGGGGAACAGTTCACCTGAGGGCAACCACAAACAGAAAGGAGCTGTGTCTGGAAGCTGCCAGCACAAGATACAGCCACAGGGGAGCTCCGTCCTCCATCCAGCCCCCATCTGCCCGTTCCGTCTTTCCAGTCTATTCAGATTTTGAATCCTGCCCCTGCCCCCGAATCCTCTCCCGCTGATTCTCACCTCTAAACACGGTTAGTGTTGGGGATTAAGCCATACAAGAATCCTTTGGGGGAACCGATCATCAACTCTATAACATTATAAAGGCTCTTACAGCAAGTATATAGGTTGTTCACTTGCAGTGGCTGTAGTAGAGTAGCTAACTTCCTGTTATTGGATCAGCCATAAGAATCACGTGGCCAGCATGTGGCTGATCTGTTTAGGGGTGTATTTATTTTGAGAAATGATCTCACTCTATATATCCCTGAAATTCACTCCTAGACTGTCTGTAAACTTAGGACGGTTCCCCAGCCTCAGCTCCTGTAGTAATTCTTGAAGGCTGATGAAAAGTGGTCCCGTGTGTTATACTGTGACAGAAAAACCAATAGCCACCACTTCTAAACAGAGCCCAACAGTGACCCCAAGTTATTGTTCTCATTCTCCCAGGAGTTCCGTCCTGAGTAGGATCTTAGACTGGGTGGTTGTTGTTGTTTTACTTTTTGGATTTTTGAGATAGGGCCTCGTAGATGTCCCCAAATAGCCTTGAAGTCTTGAGCCTCCTGCCTCAGCCTCCTGAGGGCTGGGATTACTAGCATGCATGGCAGTGCCTGGCTGAGTTGACATTTTTAACCCAGACTCTGTGATTGGATTTTCATAAGTCCCTGGGCCTTCTATACTTGCTGCAGAATTGTGTTTGTGTGACTTTGTTGAAATAAGAGCAGAGGGCTGTGTCCCCGGCACCCGGCCGCCCGCATGGCTAGCTTATGCCCTGAAATAATTACACGGAAACTGTATTCTTTCAAACACTGCCTGGCCTGGCTAGTTCCAGCTTCTTATTGGCTAGCTCTTACATATTGTTCTAACCCATTTCTAATATTCTGTGTAGCCCACGAGCTGGCTTACCAGGGTGGATCTTAACCTGCATCTGTCTGGAGCGGGAGCATCATGGCGACTACTCACTCAGCTTCTTTTTCCCAGCATTCTCCTCTGTCTACTCCGCCTACCTAATTTTCTGTCCTATGAGGGCCGAGGCAGTTTCTTTATTATTAACCAATGAAATCAACAGATAAGATACAAGACCCACCTCCATCATTTCCCCTTTTTCTGTTTAAACAAAAAAA